TAAGGTAAGGTTCCCAAAATTGAATGTTTTACAAGATATTTTGTATTTTATGTCAAAATACTGTAATTTACAAGCCTTATAACTTCGAAAAGTACTTAATGAAAAATAACTTCATTATAGTGTTTTGAAAAGCTCTTGACACCAGCTATTAGATTTTGGAATCAAAAATAGGGGTTTCTATTTAAAAAACCTAACCTAACCTTGAAATGACCTTGTAGGTCAAGCTCAAGGTCAAATTGAAGGTCACCGTTAAATTCCTCGTTGAAAATTACTTCAGAAATGACCTTGACCTTTTTCAAAATACCTTACATGAGAAAATATTTAGCCGTCCCGGGACTTAATTGACACCCTGTATATATATATACAGGGTGTCCCAAAAATTTTGACACAGCGGCCGTATGCCGGTAGAGCAGACCAAACTGAACCGAAAAGTCCTCTACCATTTTACAATTTTCACAAGGGTTAAAGAGATATTAATTATTAAAGATTACCGAATGCGAACGCACGGCTGAGATACGACCGCCTACAGATTATGGTCGCTAGGCGCGCGGCGTGCGGTAAGCGGCGAGCGACAAGCGGCGAGATGCGCCGCTCGCCGCTCCCCGCTCGCCTAGAGACCCTAAAAAAAGAGACTCGCCAACTCGTCATGTGACTGTTAGTGGACTCTGATTGGCTGGTGTATGGATCGCACATTTGTGCCCCGTGTGCACCATAAAGCTACACTGAACTACACTATGGCCGGTATTCATAATCCGTTCTTATATTTAAGATCGTCTTAAGCACGAACTTATATTCGCTCTCTTCGTCAGACACAATCTATGTGTGACGAAGAGAGCGAATATAAGTTCGTGCTTAAGACAATCTTAAATATAAGAACGGATTATGAATACCGGCCATAGTGTAGTTCAGTGTAGCTTTATGGTGCACACGGGGCACAAATGTGCGATCCATACACCAGCCAATCAGAGTCCACTAACAGTCACGTGACGAGTTGGCGAGTATTTTTTTTTAGGGTCTCTACGCTCGCCGCTCCCCGCTCGCCGCTTGTCGCTCGCCACTTACCGCACGCCGCGCGCCTAGCGACCGTAGTCTGTAGGCAGTCGTATTTCAGCCGTGCGTTCGCATTCGGTAATCTTTAATAATTAATATCTCTTTAACCCTTGTAAAAATTGTAAAATAGTAGAGGACTTTTCGGTTCAGTTTGGTCTGCTCTACCGGCATACGGCCGCTGTGTCAAAATTTTTGGGACACCCTGTATATAGGGTATGCAGATAGAAAAGACTAAATTAATTTTTTATTATTTATTGCGAAAATCGCAAAACGATAGAAAACTTTTCTACTCGGTTTAATCCGCTCTACTTGTATACGAAAGGTGATTCACCTTGTGTGGGACACCCTGTATACACAGTGTGTCCCATTTTAATTGACCATTCCTGTTAACTTTGCAGGAAATAATCAGATAAAAAAATATTCTCTACAAAAGTTGTTAGGTTTGGAGAGGGACATCCAATTTTTTTATTATGTATTTTTCGTTATTTTTCATTAAGTACTTTTCGTGTTATGAGGCTTGTAAGTTACAGTATTTTGACATAAAATACAAAATATCTTGTAAAACATTTAGTTTTCGGGAATCTTATCTTAATACTTTTATGCATAAAAGTACTTAATAAAAAATAAATTCATTATAGTGTTTTGAAAAGCTCTTGACACCAGCTATTAGATTCTGAAATAAGAAATAGGGTGTTCCATTAAAAAAAAAACAAAGTTAACCTCCATATTACCTTGGCACGTACACCCTAGGTTAAGCCAATGTCACCATCCGATGTCCCCCTCCAAACCCAACAACTTTTGTAAAGAATATTTTTTTATCTGACCATTTCCTACAAAGTTAACAGAGGTGGTCAATTAAAATGGGACATTCTGTATACATAGAAATATATAAAAAAAAATTATTACCTGTTGGAAGTGAACGTAAGTGTATTTTTCTTGAGATTTTGCAATACAAAATCGCAAACTATATTGTCTTTTGCATGTTTCGCAACAGTAAGAAGAAATATACGAGCACGTGTATTGTTGCGTTGTGATAAAAATTTATGTTGCCAAATCAGCCTCAAATAATTAGAAATTATGTCTGGATCTTCACAGCAAGTTAAATATTCTAAAAATTTATCATCAGGTTTTGCTATCCCTTTCTCCCATACTTCATACCAAATGATGTTGTTCGCTGACACCAAACCATTACAATACATCCATCTTTTCCATTCTGATTGCGTTACAAAACTGCGTTACCAGAGAAAAAGTATTTTTTACACAAATTTCTTACACTTATTTTATGATAAAATAATTTATCTAGTACAGTATTTGATGTTTAGAATATAAGTATATGTAATGAAACAGAAATTGTTTATATAAATATTGTTGGTTGTAAAACATCTTACGTTACGTTATGTAGATCTTTTAACATTAGCTTATTGGCTACTTCTCTGCAATTTTTCTCGCCAATAATACATGCCCATTTGGCGGCTTCCTTTCTTAAAAAGTCAGTAAGATCACTTTCCTTCGCTTTTGAAGAGTATCCTATTTCTTGTAGAACTCCACTCAATATATTTTGCATCTTTTCCTAAAAATTGGCAAGTAATATAAGTTTTAATCTATTGTCATTTATAAAAGATGTGATGTATGTATATAGTTATGCATATGTAAATATGTTTTAATTTTCTTTATATAAAAGTGATTCAAAACAACCTATATACAGTATAATATATACATAATGTTTTGTGATGCAATTTTTTTTATAGAAATTTCCTATTACCTACCTTTACGTCGTTAGCATCTTTAATTGAAACTATAAGAGTTACATATTCAAAAGCTTTAAGCATAGGATACCATGCTACAAAACTCATATCTCGTGATAGAAATTCAGAGATTTTCCAAAACATAATGTAATCAAGTTCTTTATGTATGAAGGAATAAAACGCATCATCTATGATTTGGGCTCGATTGAGAACATGTATTTTCACATATTTCGTAGGATTCATATAATTCGCAAGTTTAAGCCAATTTTCAGCATCATAATTAACACGATAATACCCTATTATAAAAAACAAAGCTTTCATCATTAAAGTCTCTTGATAGAATTTATCAAAAAATAATTTTTATTGTTTTTTATGAGAAACATTTCCTCAAAATTTTTATTTGTTAATAAAATATTTTAAACAATTTGTTTGAAAAAAATGTAGGAGCGATTAGCGTGTGAGAATATTTGCTTGCGAGCATGAGTGACATGTACACTTTCGAGTATGCGAGTGCATGTGTCACAAACATTAGGGTGCGTAAGATTAAAGAAAGTAAACAAGATACCAAGATAAAACATAATAAATTTAATATTTTATATTTACCTGTTTGTTGTAAATTGACTATAATCCAATCGTTCTCATCAAAGTTTTCCGTTCTTTGTTCCGATTTTTGCGGTGATAACCAAAAGGATTTATTGGGAAAATTCTCTTGAAAGTTCATGACTGATTTTGTCGTATATGTCACGAATGTTGGAAGATGTAGTCTGTTCTCGTCAATAAAATCAGCAGTGAGATATTGAAATCTTGTTTTGTTATTGAATTGATTTCGTGTAACGTACAACATAGGATAATAATAGTTTTCCACTATCCAAAGAGATACAAATTCTTTAATAATAAATAATATATTTGAATCATCCGGATATGCATGTAAAAGAATTTGTGTCATGTTCCTTAAATCATCTGTTTGATTATATCTGTAAAATGGAAATTTTTTATAAGAGTATACATTATGTGAATTTGTAGGAAAAATTTTTTGCTCGCTAAACACAAAATTAATATTTAGTATACTAAAATATTAATTTATATATTTGTATATTAGTTTTTATTTACACATTAGTAATTAGTAATATTTGTATAATTATACGTAAATGATAAAGGAGTAGGATGTTTTTTTCGGATTTGGAAAGTCTTTCTTTATCTAGTCTTGTATTTATGATAAATTAAACTTGTTTTTAAAATTGTAATAAAAGTAAAAAGATGAAGATCAAAATAACTTATAACAACAAAATATCTTATTTTTTTCACATTTACAGTTATATTTTTGTAACTAATCTGGAACTTGTAATTATATTAACGAATTTTGACTATAATATGAAGAATAAAAGTGTCTCGATCTACGCATATTTTGAATATCAGTTTTCAGAAGATTTTCAAAGTTTGATCAAACTTTAAAAATCAATTTTTGTTTCGTAAATAAGAATAGTATTTTAATTTTAGAAGATAGAGTAAGAGGAGTGAGTGAGGGAGGAAGGGAGGGAAGGGGAAAAACAGAGGGGGGGAGGGAGGGAGAGAGACAGAGAGGCGTCGAAATTGACATAGGCCTCCGAAAGTGACATATTTTTCGGAATTAAAATGTTGTGTTTTGGCAAATCTAATTTAAATAATATAAACGTGATTTGTTCAATTAGTTCATTTAAAAACCCATAGTTTGTACATATTCCTTGTTTATGTATATACTACGTCAGCTTATATCAAATTTTTTAAGTCTGAAATCTTTGGTTTTATAACTTTTTTGCAGAATTGTTTAATCTAAATAACAATAATTATATTTTTTGATAATATCAAGTTATTTTACATGCTTTGTGTAGCCTTCTAAGGCCTTTTTACTTTTGCTTTCGCTTTTATTACTTTTCTCACAGTACGATTTAGAGGATTTTATTAAGGTGTACCGAAAACCAACATATTCTACAGTGGGCGATTTATTGATATGTATATTAATATAAATTGACATACATAAATTCCACTTTAAAAACAAAGAATTGAATTATATCTATCTAGTTTTGTACAAATGCCTTGCACACAAAAAGTAAATGGCATTACTATATAATAAATATATTAACGACATTACATGTTTTTTATGTATTGTAATTCAAAAAAATTTAGAATAAATTTGTAATATCAAACAACTTAATACATTATTAAACAATTTACAGCAGTATATTTTTATATTTCTAATATGTTCTATAATTTTCAGTAGATTCGTTAGTTTTAGAACTCAATTTTTTCAGGCTCACTTTTTGTGTGGTTTCGAGAAACATTAATTTCTTAAAAGTTAGAAACAATAATGTTAAAAGTATAATACTATTTAATAGAGAGCAGTATCTAGCGTATAAATTTTTATTTTGTGGTTTTGGCTAAGAGATAACTTACAAAAACATGATACATCAGTTTTGATACCTTTCTTTAAAAATCAACGTTCTGTTGTTTACAGTTTTGAAGATTTAAGATAATTTCTTAAGATAAGTTTGAAGAAGTTTATATTTATATTTTTGGACAGTGGAATTTCCAATACGTCATTCTTCTTCAATATCCAATTTATGTAACAATTATCTAGCAAAAGAGATAAATAAATATTACTTACTGTTTGTTATTAACATATGTGCGGATACTAGTCCAAAACATATCAGGAGTTATCAAATGGTATAACATGCGCCATATATTGGATGCTGAAACAATTAAAATTATAATGTGTTTGTTAAGTACTTTGAAATACATATTTTTTAAAAGTTATGATATATTTCTTTTATAATGAAATTTATGTATGTCAGTACATTGTATTTAAATCGTGTGTAGATTAGTTTTTTATTTTTTTTTTTAATTTAAAAATTTGCATATTATTCAACAGTATTATTTAATTATATTTATTTTAATTATTTGTAGAATTTTACTTATACTTTGCCAACTTACATTTTATATGATCTACAAGATAACTAAGTGAATTCTTTTTATTTGCATTAGAAGGAGTATCAAAGACAAAGGATTCCCATTGTGTTTCAACGGTAAAAAAATTCATGATATTATAATCCGAAGGAATCTGAAAAATTTTAAATAATGAAATAAATATTTAGTCAACAAATTATAATTTAAAGCAATACAGCACGACTGGTTGTTGCAAATAAATCTTTTTTATCATAAAATTGTTTATTAAATAGTTATTAACAAAAGAAATTTAATAAATACAGCGTAATTTTCTTTTACATTTATATGAAACAATACAAACTCTTAACAGATTTATTTATTTAAACGTGGTAAATTGATGTATGGGTTTAATTGTCACTCTATGTTTAAAAGCTTTGAACAATATAAAAAGTTATTAACAATTAAAATTAGTACTTCAAATAAATATTCCTTTAATTTTTCCTGCTCTGGAGTTTTGAGAAAAAGTCATATGCTGTCATCATGTAGCAAATTTTTTCCTGTTACTTGTGTTATAAGAGTAATATAAAGTACGCAATTTCTGTTATAATTCATAGCGTCATATGTTGCTACATAAAGTTCTTTCTTTGACACACAATGATGAAAATCTAATCATATATTTGTATCAAATGCAAGACGAGAAATTATGTGCCCTCGGTCAAAAAGTAACATTTATGCATACATATATACATACACATTATAGATCATTATCACTTGTTTTGCAATGCAGGAATAATTATTACAAACAAATTCGAGGATATAAGAGGGGAAGGAACTCCGCACCAAACTCTTCTCTGAAAGATGCTGGAGTTGGGTAGGGAATAAGGTTTTCTTGAGGGTGCAGAAAGAGAGAGGCAAAGCTCCTTTTCTGCCACGCGTTCAAGTTACCATGTATAAATAAATAAATTTGCTAAGAATAAGAATTCATTTTACTAAATATAGATGGTGTTATGAAATTACGTTATATTCTGCAAACTTCTTTTCTTAACAACTTTTTAATAAATAATGATTGACGAAAACATTTTTCTTGTTACTCAGAACAATTAGCTTTGGTAACGTATGTCAAAGTCAAGACGATTGGATCTAATTACGCAAATATAAATATTTTCTAAATGTAGTATATCAATAATAAGAATTTAAAACAACCTGATATAAAATATACGTTGCAAGCAATTTGATAAAACCTGTTTTCGACCATAGCAACACATCACTATACCAAAGAGATACTATTTGAGATGTTATAAAATATGACACTTTCATTTTATATCCAACAGAATCTACGTCTTCATCATAAATAACATCAGCTTCTCTGAAAAATATTTTGAAATATGAAAAGTTCGTCAACAATGTTTGCGGTAATTAAACAATTTAATAAATTCTCTATAATGTAGATATAACAAATTATTACAAAATCACGAATGAATTTTTTTATAACTGTTTTTCGCAAAAAATGTATTTAAGATTTTATGAGCTCAATTTCATAACAAATAAAAATAAAGTGACTTTTGAAAATTTTGTGCTGTTATGTAATTTTTTTTAACAACGTAACTTTAACAATGTAATTCACAATGACATAATTAACAATGTAATTTATTTTACTTGTGAAACGACGTAATATTAACTGTTTATTTATACAGTCACATACAGACTTTATTTCAAAAAGCTAAAAAAAAGAAACTTTGTACATTTTGCATAAATAACTTCACAAATAATAAAGAACATTAGAATTTAGAAGACAAGGACTCTGATAAGTTCTGACAAAATAACTGATATAATAAAAGATTTTATAGGAGTCGCTTTATTTGTGCAACTTACAGCACACTGTTATTTTTCATGCTTCTAAAACTGAAGCTAAACAAAAATCTGATTTGACGCAAAGAATGATTATTTAAAATTTTAATCTAAACTAAAGATAATGATATTTTCTTAATGTGACGCAAGTAAAATTGGAAATAGATTTCAACTATTTCCTAATTTATACATTGTGACTTAAAAATATGTATATCTTTCAGTTTTATAATTATATTATTTGATAGTGTTACATTTTTTATTTAATAATCATTTTTGATTAATTTATTTTAGTTTTGAATATTACCTGTGTAAAATTAGTCCCCATGTCTCAGTGGTATTGTGTTGACTATCCCAAAATGCAACATAGTCTATTTTTGGTAATTTGTCTATACTATTTTCAGATTTCAAAAAGTATAGTACTTGTTGGGCAATACATTCCGCTAAGTGTAAATAGCGTATAATGTTTTTTCTACCCCAAAATGTGATCTTTGCAACCGAAGTATGAATGTTAGTGAATGAGGTTATTATA